TTAGTCCCGTGAGGCAGCTGCAGTTCTGCAGTGCTGGGTGTTCAGCACCCACTGTTCCAGTCTCAATGTCCCTTTAGTTTGGTTCACTTGGGCTGTTATGGGCAATGTGATGCTTCCTTCTTTCCTTTCATGGTCTCCTTTGTCTTGAAGACATTTTTTCCTGAGAACATGGCTGTTTCATTCTTATTTTTCACTGCATTTCCTTGAGGTGATTCTCTTGATGAGCTGCTGTTTGTTTTCTCCAGTTCCTGTGCTTGGCTTTGCCCAGATTTTTTCATTAGGCAGGTCAGCACAAAGCCCAGCACCAGCAATTTCTGAAATGATGCACAATACCAGGGTGGATGAGGGAAGCCACTGCAACAAATCTTCAAATATTTTGAGTTTTTAGCTCCCGTGTGCTGTAGCTGTTCCTGGATTATTGTTGTTTGTCTTTGATCAGAACCAGGGAACAGCAAATAAGTGCTGAGCAAGGACACAGAAAGAAAGAGTTTTTATAGACCTGAAATAAACCCTCTGGCCTGCTGTAAGGGGAGAGAGGGAAAAATCCCAACTGGCCCATATGTGAAACAGTAAATGGGTCCACCATGGCCCACATGGAAAAATAAATAAAACCTGCTGAATTGGATTGAGTTGAGGAATGTGGCTCCTTTATTTTGATCCTGGGGATTAGCTCCCAGTCTTACCATAGCAGGGAGTCTGATCTCGCTCTCACCGAGRTCCAAAATCTAAATCCACATTAACACCATAGAAACAGGATCAAACCTTCTAAAGCAAAAGCAATCCTGGAGTTTGAGCAGGCAGTGCTGTGTGCRGGGTGGGAGCACATTTGGAGTGTCCTGGGCTGCAGGAGGTACCTGGAGGGAATGGCCAACCTCAAAGTGTGAGGGTGCAGAGATCTTCACAGGGTCAGAACACAAAGTCTCACCCATTTCCAGTTTTTTGGGTGAGCCTTGGTCTCAGCTCAGCTGTTAGAGCAGTGTTTCTGCAGCACAGGGGTTTCAGAGCAGCAGTTTGGGTGCTCTGGGCTCTCACAATCCCGTTTTGGCTCAGTTTGTCCTGTGMAGGATTTTTGGATGTTTTCAGGGTGCAGTTCCCACCCCACGAAGGACAGCTGTGCCCCTCAGATCTGCCTCCTCTCCAATGCTCTCCAATGTGAATTCAGAAGTTATTTCCCCACTTTAAAGACACCCACTACCTCCTGGCTATCTTTAGCAGTTCCTCTGATGAAAAACCAAGATGCAGAGAGATATGAAGTGGTTCAGTAGTTAATGTTTTTTCCAGTTGTATTTTTGTTTTACTGTAATATTTTTCACTCTGGTGGAATACCCAGGTATGAAATTAATAAAGCTCACGTTTTATTACATCCAAAATAAATTGTTATATTTAAATGTCCTTCCTAGAAACTGATGATATAAAAACCGTAACATAAGAAGGTGTTTATTTCAGAAAAAATAATTGCAGTATTTGCTCGAAGTATTTTGAACATTTGGCAGGAAATCATACTTATGCTAAGGAGATGTAAACCAGAAGCTGATAATTTAGCATYGACTATAAAGGGGTCTGGTTTAAAGTGGAAAGGAACGTTTTTCAGCTATTTTTTAGTTAAAACTAAACTCAGCTATTCTTCCTCTGATATATTAATTGTGGAGCCAGTGTGTCAGTGACCTTTAACAAGTTCTGCATTACTTTTTGATCTGCCTTTGTAAAAATGCACATTTATATGTGCAGAGGCCTTTCAGGCAGCCAAAAGCTGTTTTGTATTGACATGTCCTGTTGGGGGCTGGTTTGGTTTATAGTTCATTTTAAAATGTTTAAATCATTTCTCTTACTGGAAGAAATGATCTTATATGGTAAGTTAGATGCAGACACTGTTCGAACATATACCTTATAGCCATTATATATTTGCTCTTAACTGGTCTGTAATTGGTTAAGGGTTAGTGTTAAGTAGATGATTTATTTCCTGTAAGTCCTGCCACTTATTAAAGTTGTGACCTGCAGCAGGAAATGAGGTGTGGGCAAAATGAGACTGAACAGCTGCAGATTTTTGTAAGGGGGAAGGACTACTGAGCAGATTCCTTCTGTCAATTCAGTGATTAGGAAATCAAACTAGGACAGCAGAGTGTAAATATGTTCCTAATACACTACTGACATTTCAGTTGTTATTGTTAATAATGAATTATTTTCCAAGAGCAAGCAAGATTTACAGATCCATTTGTAGGTCTCAATAGTTGCATAACATAGCAACCAGACTCAGAATGCTGTACTTAATAAAACAACTTGTTATTTTTAATAGAAAAATTGTGAAAGCTGTGAAATATTTTCTTAGACACATTTGACAGTTTTAAGCCTAATTATGAGATGTAAAAATTCCTTGACGAAAGACAAMTTCTAAAACAGTTTTTTAAAATTTTCCTAGGGGAAGAAACTGTGATTGCTGTACCCCATGGGAGTCGCAGTGTGAGAATTACCCTGAAAGGACCTGCACACCTCGGTATGACTGAGCTGTTTTATGTGTTTGTACACAGGCAGAACATAAAAACAGAGCTTTGTGTCTGAACTCATCCCAATTTGGTGATATGGGTAAGATCAGGACCTCGATACCTCTATTCTTCATCCCACCTTTAATATCCAGCCTGGAATTAGTCCTAGAGAACACTGCAAGGTCTGCTTAGTGAAAATGGAACTCACAGTGGTGGATTCTGTTCCTTCCATTTAAACCAATATAGGAGATGTCTCAGACACTTAACATGCAAAATACARAAATCCTTCAGAGGATTATGTGTGGAATCAATAGCAGTTGTAAAACTCAGCACCAGGTTCTGTTGAGGCCTCTAACAAGGRGTGTAGGCACAAATGAAGGAGGGTGAACAACTGCACAAATCCTGGTTCCTTGTAATTCTTGTGCTCATTACATACCACCAATGAGAAACATTTGCTATTCTGTCTGACTTTTGATCCCCAATATTTTCTTACAAGGCTGATGGCAGTACTTTTAGCAATTTCTTTATCCATAGGCCTGGTTTGCATAGAGAATTAATGCTTTCAGTGGTAAATGGGGCTCCCATACCAAGCAATGAAATAAACTATTCATTTAATTTTGAACAATTTTTTATTTGTAAAACTGGCAGATGTAGTCTGGATCATAGAAATAAAAATAACTTCTCCTCTGAGATATATAAACAAGTCAGAAATGCGTTTTATTTGAAAATTGCTCATCAGTTTGTTTGCTTTCAAAAATATATTGTCACATTCTTTAAAAAAAAATAAAACTCCCACTTTAGAACAGCTCCAGAGTGCCACTAATTTCTAGATATAGCACTGATGTAAAAAATACACAAAGCTGAACATTTGAACATCCATTGAAATAAATAAAACTCCTTTAAAAGTGCTGCAGGGATGTGTGAGGAGTGATCCTGACCAGTTCAGGTCAGGACTCTTGGACTTCCTTAAGTAGTTCTGCAGAAGGAAGTTGTTGTTTCAGCTTTGTGTGAGGGAAAAGTGCTCGATGGAGTGGCTGCTGGGGGATTTCTGGAAAGCTCCTGAGGAATGCAGGAAMAGCTCAGAGCTCTCCTGGGCTGGTTCTGTAAAGATTCTGTGGCTTGGCATCACCTTTGTTAGCTCACTCTAGCTGGACAGGAATTGTGAAATGTTCCTTTAACCACTTCCACCAGCACATCTGTTTGCAAATCTACGAGGATTTGGACATTTTCTACCTCAAATTAAAATTGCAGAGGAGGAAAACCACAGAGAGCTGTTGTGAGGAGAGAGGGGGCAGTCGTTTCTGGCTCCATTKGGGGGTCTCCAAGAGCTGGAGCTCCGGAGATGTTCCTCCACCTTCCCTTCTGTGTTGTGGGTTTGTCACCCATCAGAGGACACCAAATGATCCTTTGTCTGCACTTCATTGACTCAGTGTGGGTGTGCTGGTACAATTAAAGGCAGAATTTTAAAAATAACCACCTATAATGACAGGCTCCATTTGTCAGAGGTGTTTTTCCTGGCTCGCGAGGAGTTGAATTGAACAGGTGAAGCAGAGACTGTTTGTTGTGAACAGTTGATATTTCAGGATAGATTTGTCCTCCCAGCAGAGTCAGCAGCAGCAGGAAGAGCCCGATGGAGTGTCTGGAGCTTTATCTCCTGTTCTGTGGTGCTCCATCCTGGGTTTATGGTCTGGTTTTGTTCCTGGAAAGCGCAGCTGCTGGATAATCAAAAATGGGAATGTTCTTGGAGATGGAGCCCWTAGCAGGTTTGAGAGTGATGCTCTGAGTGTTGTTTGCACCCAGCAGTGTTTGAGCAAGGACTGGGATTCCTCCAGGATGGTTGGGATGAGTGCTTTGTGTCTGTGGTGCTTTGAGACAGGAAACAGCATCACCAGGGAGTCAGGATGGTAATTTGGGGTTTTAACAAATAGGGCCCCCCTGTTCCTCTGTCTGCTTGGGTTTGGTGAAAGATTTGGTGGAAAATAACCAAGAAATTAGCAACTGCCACACTGAGCTTGGCTGGGGTGACCTGCAGAGATCCAGGGATGGCTCTGGAGCTGCACCTTGCACAGGAACACGTGCCTTGGGTCCAAATCTGGTGTAGGGCTGATGGAAACGTGGGGCAGCTCTCATGGAGTTGCTGTGTTGTTGGTTGTTGGACAGCATTCTTGCTTTCTGCTTGGAAAAACATAAAAAATACTTTTTTAATAAAAAAAATTAGTAAAAAGCCTCTTCACAAATGTAGCTCAGGTCACCAAATAAACATTTTCATCACCTTTTCCCACCAGCTGTATGCCTTGCCTTGTAATCTTAAATTCTAGTTTCAAAGGGGTCCTGCACCCTGAGATCTTAATGAATTTATTTGGAGTTGGAAGTATTTGAGATTTGATTTTCCACTTATTCAACAAAATGGGACAACAACAGGCACCGTGCATTATTATTTACTGTTAAACGGTGTAAGTTTAGAATCTGCTTAACCCAAGAATGCCAAGTTTCATATTCTAAAGGGTTATTTTGTAATGCAATCAGGAAAGAAAACTTCCTTAAAAGTGACAAACAGAAATATGTAGTAATCATCTAAATACTTGGGTTTTTTTTCTGGGATTAAATTATATCTCTTTGCCCCCAATGGAAATGTGCTGGACAGTGGGGCACATTGATTCCCAGAGTTTTATGTTTTCTCTTGGACAAAGTGCATTTGATTCACCACTACATTCATAGCCTGTGATTAACATAAAGTCATTTCCTAGAAACAAATCCTTCCTGAAACTTCCTTCCAGCCATGTGTATGATCTTTGTTATACCTATGAGCACATGGAACCTAATGCTTAGAAGCTTGGGATAATGTTGGTAATGTTTTCAAGGAACTTAATTCACTCTATAATTTCTTTATTCTCTTTGTTGGGGGTGCTCCAGAATGCATRTTTATTTTAAAAATGTGAAGGAAGAAAACAGTAATGATGGATTGCAGCATTCAGAATATGTGTTCAGTGCAGGTAAAACCAGATGCTTTTAACTTAAATTGTCTAGCCTGACTTAGGTAACTTTGTTTAAAGTACCAAAAAAGGCAAGGTGGTGGGAGAAAGAGGGTATTTATAGCTCATCAAAAGATTCCTTTTAGCTTGCCTTGAGCTCATCTGACATTCATGCTTTTCCCATGCAGTGCTCTGSTAGATTGTAACCAGACCAGTGCATTTCAACTCAAGCATCTTGTGGTGCCTCTCCACTGTACAGAGCCCAAAATTCTCCCTTCATTGTGAACATCTTCCTTTAGCTGTGTCTGTTCACACTTCAGTCGGTTTGCTGGAAGGGATTTAATCCTGAAATCCTGGAATCCTTCACCTGTGTTTGGGAGGTTGTGGGCTGTTCAATGTTTCCAAGGAGTGGAGAGCAGCTCAGGGAAGGTTTTCATCCCCCTGTTTGGGGACAGGGCCATCCTCCCCTCCCAGGGAAATGCTCCAAATGCAGTGATGGCCTTGGTGGAGCAATGCAGGTATTGAGGTGAGTGTCAGATGGGTTTGGCACYGTTCAGGCTCCTCTGCAGACTGATTGCTCAGATTTGGAGTTGCATGGAAGTATGAGGTATTGTTGTATTTCTTGATTTTATCAGTTGTGAGTTTCTTTCAGCTTTTCTTGCTCCGTTYATTGCTTCTACCAAATGTTGCAGAGCATTTGGTGTAGGAAAAACTGTCTGAGAAGTGCTTCTGGTATGAAAGAATATTRTGTTCAGAGAGATATTCCTGTGCTGGCTTGTCCTGCAATTATCTATCAGCCCATAATCTGAACAGTTCATATTCTCACAGCTGCTCTGGGYGTGTTTTTAATGCACATATGCAGCTGGTACTTGCAAGGCAAAGTTGTAGGCGTTGCTTTCTGACTTTCTTGAAGACAAAAAAAAACCCCAAACCTGTTTAAGTTTACTAATTGCATGTTTCTTCTTTAGTTATAGAGTCAAAAACACTGCAAGGAGAAAAGGGAGAGCACAGTTTCAATGTTCCTGGAACATTTGTCATTGAAAATACAACTGTGGAATTTCAGAAGAGCACAGAGAGGGAAATCCTAAAGATCCAGGGACCTCTTGGAGCAGATTTCATTATCAAGGTGGGGTGTGTGAGTGTACAAATGTACAAAGTCACTGCAGCTCCRTGTGACACAGTGGCAGCTGTCCATCAGGTTGTGGCAATACAACAAAATCCTTCAGCCAGCAAGAAAGGAATCCTAATTACAGTCCAGAGATCATTTATGCTAAAATAATYCAAACAAATTAAAATGTTACGAGATTAACGTTTTTTTCCTGTGGTGGAAAATAACCACAGGATATTTAATGGTAAAAATGGTCAGGATTTTTGTTTTAAATATTGCTGAAAGAATAACAATCCATGACCCTGTGGCTGGATTGAGCTAATCCAATTGCAGACTGCCACCTACTGAGCCTGAGCACTGCTTCAGCATCTCCCTCACACATTGCTAATCCAGCCACCACCATTCCTAAACCTTTTCAATGTCTTGTCTGTCCAGAACATGTCCCAATGGCTTGGAACACACATTTAGGTATTTATATGTAGAAAATAAATAAGATAAAGATAAACCAATAAGAATGCAGTTARGAACTTTGCCATTCAAAGATGGATAATCAAATGGTTGCATAATAATTTGAAAAACAAGGCAACGTTCAAATGTTTGGCTATTGGGAAGTTAAATTTAATGGCTGCTCTAGACTTTCTAGAGGTTTTATGTCTGTTATCTTGCTCTGCACTGCTGTTTCCTGATGAAATGCCAAGAACAGCTGAGCACAGTGTACACGTGTGTTGTAATGGAAATTTCTTCAGACCAGGTACTCTGGATCAAAAGAAAGTGTTGTTCAGTTCTTCTTCTATCAACCCATCAGTCATCAGTGGAGACAAACAGAGTTCTTCCCCTGCACGGTGACGTGTGGAGGAGGTGAGTAATGGCAAATCTTCAGCAGTGATAACAGCTGAAGGTTAAAGGTAGCAGATTTACAACCTTTGTTCTTCATTTTTATTGATTAAATGTTTGTGTTTCTTTGTACACTGGTGATTCTTCTGGAAAATAAATGACAGAGGAGGAACTAAGTAGGTTGGTTAAGCTGGTATCAACATAGGGTTTTTTACATGTTGGGACTGGAAATCATGTTTTTCCAGAAAGGATATTCATTCGAGTAAGAACGTTGATTAAGAAATAAAAACACAACATTCAAAATGGAAATTTGCAACTCATAAAGGATATTTGGGGAAAGTAAGCAAAGAAGCACTTAAAGATGAGATTTTAAAACAAGAATAATCAAGCAATAATGAAAGAAGGTATTTCTGGCCATGTAGTCTACATGAGGGAGAGTTTTAGAATATTTAGCTGAGAAATTAGTTACACAGAAAGCAGAATAAGTGAACAGAATTTAAAGAGCAGCTAYCATCAGCACCTTTGGCTGTCTGATCATAGATATTTAGTCCTGATGGCAGCTGGAGCAGCACAGGGGGTGCTGTAGCATCTGCTCCTGCTTTAAGCACTGCAGTTCAGATGAGGAGAAGCTCAGCCCCTGTGTCCTGTCTGGTGTGCAGAGAAAGGAGAGATGAGCTGGGCTGGGAGGGGAGCTTGGCATGGAGGGAGTTTGCCATGGGGAGAGTTTGACATGGGAGGGGTTTGCCATGGCAGGATGAGTTTGCCATGCAGGGGAGTTTTTGCCGTGGCAGTTTTTGCCATG